TCACAGAAACACTATATTAGAATATGGTAATAATCATATTCTGCATAATGTACCAAAAATGTTTGTGTCAGCCACCCTGCTACCTTCTAATTGCCTGGTTTTGTCACACAAGGTACTGTGTGGACCTGGACATGAAGGGGAGCAGTAATAAACATTACCTACTATATTGTGTATAGACCATGTTTGCAAAGTTTGAATGACAAAAAGGAATGCAGATCTAAAATGAGAGGGAATGATCTTTTCCTTTTGAATACTAACCAAGTAACACTTCCAGGATATTGAATGACTTGTTTTTCCATAGAATATCTCATTGTCTGCAGATGCAGAAAAATGTGATCCACTCTTCTTCTGAGGGAGATCTTCTGTCTTACAGGGGACAATGCCCTTGTTCTGGCATCATCTGAAACTCATTATTTCCTGACTTACGGTCAGCAAGCTACTGCATGATTCCAGAATTTTTATTTTGTTTTGGATTTTGTTTAGTACAATACCTAAAGATGGGCGTTACCTAATRCTTAATTTGTAAATATATCCCACTTAATAGATTTCTGCTATTATCTAAAAAACCTCCGAGAAGTTTTCTCAGACTGTTTTTGTACAGAGAGAATATTTGCTATTTTAAGTCTAATTCTTCCTCTCTGCAACCTCCTTTAAATTCCAATGCCAATAAAATAAGGCTGACACCATTTGTCTTGACACATCAGTTTTTTCCAGTAAAATTTAAAGCTGCATCCCACAACTAGAAGAATTTTTTCAGAGGTTTTCCAATTTTGTAACCCTGAACCCTGATACAGCAAGCATGAGGAAATAATGAAACTTATCTCTTGCAAACATACTTCCGGCACACTGCAAATTTCCTGCATCCTCTACCCCTTTAACACTACACTATCCCATTTTCAATTTATGGGGAACAAATTCAGAGATTCTCAGTAACATTCAATTGAAACCTGGCAATGCAGGTTTGTCGAAGACAAAAAGAGATTAGAGAGTCTGCTTTCTTCTGCTAACAAACAGGTTTAGTTATCTGGTTATCCTACTGGAAAGGAAGGAAGTTTTGTAAATTGAATAGGAGACTCCTCTCTAAATTGAGGATTCCTTTCTCAGAACTTAGACCATCTAGTACACAGGATAACTGTGTGAGAATGTGGAATAATCTCACATACTGGAAAACTGATTTGGAGAAAAGAAAGGGGATGACATTTCAAAGCAATTACAAATCCTGTAGTGCCAAATTTACTAGCCTGTGTATAGGCTGAAATTGGCAGCTGCACAAATACAGAATGTGAGCCAATCATGTGGGCAAGAGTTTCCTAGAACACCATGCGAGTTCAAAGTGGTTTGCAAAGCTCATCATGTGAGTTATGCATCATAATTAAAGAAAAAAAAAAAAAGAAGAAGAAAAAAAGAACACAGGGTGAACAGAAAGAAGCAGAAAACTTGAGAATAATAAATGGTGTTTTCCTTCCCTAAGGCAGTAATGATGTATTTGGGCATTCACAAGGTATTTTTGTACCATGCTTCAGGGTACACATGGATCAATAAGGATGAGAGAGACAGATGGTCAAAGGACAAGACAGTACRACCTACAGGGGATGCTTGAGCAGCTGCAGGAAAAGAAATATGAAGGGGAATAAAATTTGTAAAGGTTTTTCTTAAAAAGAAGTGGAAAAACTGTCTACATGTCTAAGCTGAATAGTACATTTGATGCAGGGAAGATTTGGGTTAAAAGTAGGACAAATGGGTCAACAATGATGATTGTGAAGAACCAGAACCAGTACCAGCTTTCCTGGTACTGCTGTAGTGTTTCTGTCCACCAAGGACCACTGGAGGTCTTTAGGACTAAGTAAAACAAATCTTCRTTAGACATATTGAAAGTATAATTAACATGATTCTGAGCACAGATCAGGTGACATGTGACTCAAGGTGAGTACAAGGCTTTAATGGCTCTGTGACAGCATGACTAATTCGTAATGAAAAAAAGTTGTTTGGAACTAAAAATTGAAAGATTTTACAAAGAAACTTTAAGAACCAATAATCCTCACATCTTCATAATTATCCCTAACATTTCCTTCAACCATTTTCTACATTGATTATCATTTCATGGCTATTTTCAACCCCTTTAAAGTGTGGGATTTTTATTTTCAGTATARACAAAGGAAGGCAAAATTTTTCAGTATGGCTGCATCGTTGATCCTGAATTTGAAAGAACTGCTGGCAGTTATATTCTGTCTTTTCTTCCTCATGGCAACTGCAGTATCATGAAGAAGATACCCCAGGCATTAAATTTTCATTATTCAATTTCCATTAATACAATTTGGATATTGGGACTAACATGTAAATTTAGAGTAGAATAATCATATTCTGGGAACAAAAAGAATACTGGGTCTTGAGACCCATTTCAGCAGTCTAATAATCTATCAGAACCTGCTTTAAAATCCTGGAAGTTAGAAGGGATAATACAGTATGTTTTGAAGTGTAGGGRTCTGATTAGAAAATTGCCTAGTGACATTCTCTGTATTATAATGATGCATAATCATCTATGTGGGAAGCATTTATGCAGTTCAGTGAAAACAAAGAGCTAGAAATATTCTTCAAATTAGCTATTGTGTGTTTCACAGAATTTCAGATCATATGTTCATACTGTGCTGCTTATTTTTGCAGAAAATGAGAACCGGGAGGAGCAGTGATTTTCACAAAGATGGAGTGGTCCACAAAATTAAGAAAGGAGAGGCCTTATACCTTTTGGAGCCTTGTGAAAGAAACATAAGGTATGTTGATCTTGGCAGGAAATGAAGCTTTGACTGGAGGGATTATGCAAATATCCCCCTGCCATGTATCCTCAGCTAAATTGATGTTTCCACTGATTTTCTTTGGGAATTTGCTGGTATTAACAAAATGTTAGGGCTTAGGGAGACTATATATTACCCCCATCTCACAATGTTCCTTCAGAGTTTGTAAAAGAAAGAGTGTAATGCAGAGCTTGTCTGCTGTACTACTATTCTGGAATAGAGGGGGACATTTTTAAAGGGATTTCCTGGAAAGAGCTAGTGGATTATTTGATACTGAAATTGGATTAAAGAAGGACAGACACGATTAAAAAGATGGAAATATATAGATGAAGAGTATCACAAGTCTAGCCCCAGAAACACCAGGCTTTCTATACTGTCTTTGTAACTATTCCATAGGTAATCCTCCATATGCAATTCTCACATAGATCTAGTATTGGAAAAGGACAGATACAATTAAAAAGATGGAAATAAGTAGATGAAGAGCATCACAAGTCTAGCCCCAGAAACGCCAGGCTTTCTGTACTGTCTTTGTAACTATTCCACAGGTAATCCTCCATATGATATTCTCACATAGATCTAGCATGGAAAAAAAGCAATAGTCTAGTCTAGGACAAGGCATTTCTGAGTCCCATAGCTCCCAGACACTCCTTAAAGGAAATATACATTATTTTGCTACCTATTCTTTAGCTAGGTACCTTATTATTGCAGGAACACAGCTAAAATGATAGACAATAACAGCATCAAGGTGGAATTTTGACAATGCAGGACTTATATTCCATTCTGGGGTGTCTGTGAACCACAGATGGAAGGTTAGTTTTATTACATACTAGAAATGTTTCAAATATCATTGTGGTAACTAGGTTACAGTGGTCAAACCATGCCATAGATGAGATGGCCAAGCTGATATGAAACTTTCTAAGGAAAAAAATTATCAAGTTCAGTCTGATAGGAAATTGGAAGTCAAAGACAACTAGAAACTCCCGTTAATATCAAAGACAAATAGTTCCACTGAATATCAAACCTATGTCTTGGCAAGCTCTCTGTTATCACAGTGATGCTAACATCAAACAGAGCCTATCCATAATTTTTCTTATAACTTAAAATTGTCCAAGACTAAACTTAGTTTCATTAAATTAACAGTTTTCTTTGTACTTCCTGGTTTAATTTGACCATAATAGGCTTTTTTTCCCAGTAGATTTCTTAAATTGTTTAGAGTTTTAGAGTAACATTTTTCAGCTGTTTAACTGAGTTAGACTTCGAGCTGTAACAAAATTACATGCATATCGTGGTGGAGAAAAGTCAAGAAAAGAAGGAGCACAAAAAGAAAGTTGGCGCACCGTTACACAAAATGTGACGAAGAACGTGGGTTGCTTGGTTTAGATTATTTTTTTTAGGTGCCACAAGAGGGCAGCACTTCATTTTTAATGGCTAGAGACTGTAGGCTAAAGAATTACTTGTGTAGTCCACAAGTTTGGAAAAAGCATTAGAAGGGCTGTACCTTTTTTTTCTAATAAAATGCAAAAGCTTTCAAAACAAATTCTATATGTAACAACTCAATATGAAGAAAATTACTAGTTAAACAAAGTATTTATATGTGTACTGGTTTMAAAAAAAATTAGAGCAGAGAAACCTGATGTTGAAATTTATCAGACTTTTACTACTTCAATAATATATACAGCCCTAACAGATAAGTTACTGGATGTGGTTAAACATCAGAGGAAACTTTGCAGCAGAAGGTATTGTCATAACATACTGTCTTGATCCACAGAAAGTTCATCACAATTTTCAAAAAGTGGCTTCAACTAAGGAGTTTGAATTTAATTCAGATTTTCTAAAGCTATATATTTGGACTCTGAATTTTATTTTTTTTAAGTTTCTCTTGTTTATCTTCCCTGTATTTTTCCCATATAGTTTCTTTCAATGAGTTTTTCTAGGCTCTCAAAGACCAGGAGCAATAGGTATAAAGGAAAGCTTTTCAGAGTAGCCTCTGTCACAAAGGTCATTTCTCTGAAGGGTATAACAGGAAAGCAGAAATCTTGCTGTAGGCATCTACATGAGAAATAGCAAGAAAACTGTTAAAACTTGAGGAAGAAGGAAGGAACTGCAATCAAAGAAAGGAGAAGTGAAAGGAGTCTTGCAGCAACAGAACAGCAATTTCAGTTGATTTAAATAACTGTATTGGTATTTCAGTTTATCCAAGCCTGGGGACTTGGACTTGCCCACTCATAGCAGTCAAATTGTACTTTCCAAAGTGTTGCAAAATGTTACCAGGGACTGACAATCCATGGCAGGTCTACAAAGATGCAACAGAGATGAAGAAACTAATCTGTAACTGAGAAGTAAGCGGCAGAATCATTACTCACATTCTAAAAGGTAAAAGCTGGGGAAGTCCTTTAGAAATACGTCTTTACAAACTTTGAGGAGCAGATTTTTGGGGGATGGGAAGGATTGTTATTGCTAATAAATCAGGTACCTGAAAGCAGATATATGATGTCTGTTTTTGGAATAGTCTATGCCATCTCCTTTAATATTCTTTTATTAACAATTGTTAGGGCTTTTACAATGACAAAATATMGGGATGGTCTGCTTCTCTTTGTCTTATCTATGTGGGACATTGACTCTGACTTTTTGTCCTGTCAACTGCATTAATGAAAACTGAACATAGCTCACGTAATAGCCAGTATTTCTTTGGTGGAAAAGTGAAAGACTTAGATTGTTACCAAGTATCTGAGAGCTCCTAATTGTCTTACATCTCCTTAGACAAAAGGAGGAATTACCAAGAACTGCCCCATTCCCCTTTTAGATGTTTTTATTATTTACAGGTATAATTTTTCATCTTTTTTATCATCATTATCATCATTGTTGTTGCTGTAATTCTTGTGGTTATTGTTATTGTTATTGGTAAAATCATAAATACCTTTGTTTAATCTCAGTTTAAGCCTTAGACAGCATTAATGACTGCAAGTGGTTCCAGTTTGAGAACCCTGTAGTTCTGAATCCAGCAGCACCCCTTGCATTGGATATTACAGATTAAATACAGGAGAGACTTCAAATAACAAATCTATCTAGCTTCACAGTATCTCAGTAGAAGCCCTTAAAATCAGTATCCTGGATAAGAGGATAAAATAGCTCATGCTGTGAAAAGGGAATATTTGTGACTTATTCTTTGGGTATCTACTGAGGAAAAAAAGGCTCAGCATGAGAAGCAGGAAAAAAAGAACAAAACCCACGAGACTGACAGAAGATTCAGAAGGCTTTTGATGCCAGTGACTAACACAACTGTGTCATTTGCAGTTGAATAATGTCTATAYTTAGACAACCTTATATAATGACAACACAGAATTAAATTTATTTACTGAGTATTCTGGCTCTTACAAGTAACTCAGAATGAGTAAGCAAATGTATCTCTTAAAACTGTTTATATCCTTACAATTACAGCATTTCACCCCTAGAATTTATGCTTCTTTCAGCAAGCAACAAGGGATTCTATGTGAGAAACAGACACAGAAAAAACAAAGATGGAAAYTGATCTGTAAAGATGTCCTGTATTCATCTGGGAGCCAGTTAATTTCTTCTTAGTAACTGTGTTTTGGATTTAGTATAGAATAATGTTAATTACACACTGATGTTTTGGCTGTTGCTAGGTAGCCCTAACCATGAGTTAAGGACTTGCCCGTGTCTCATTCTCTGCCAGTGAGGAGATGCACATGAAGCCGGCAGCGGGGATAACCAGGACAGGTGACCCAATCTGGCCAAAGGGATATTCCAATCAGAATGTCATGCATAGTACAACTCCCACAAATACAAATGGAGGAGTTACCCAGAAGAGGGGTCATGTAAGGATTTAAAGAACATAGTAGCCTGTCTCAAAATACTGTCAAGGCCACAGAAGGAACTTTCCATAATACATGCAGCCACAGCAGGAACTTGAGATATGGAATTTGTAAGATGAAGGTGTTAATTCCAGGCCTGGCAGAGGTGAGGTCTGGTTAGTACATCCACGTTCATGCATCCAGGCAAAAATTCCCACTGTGGCAAGCTGTGGAAAAGGAAGAAACTGCTCTTATATATGTGTATATCACCACAAGTTATGGGAACAGCATGTACCACCACCCCATGGATACCCCAAACTTGGACTGTATAAAAGTGTAATCTCTGGAACAGCTCTGGGACCTCCCAACACTGAGAAGCTTGAGGTGAAGAGGGACCAACAGGATGCAGCTGGATCTGCAAGTGGTGAACATCTTTTGCTTGATATTTCTCTCTCCCTGCCCTGTACTGCTCTTTTCTAATTTTTCTTACTACCGCACATTTAGCGTTTAAAAGAAGTGTATTATTGACTTCAGCACATGGTCTCATTTGCTCCTTAATTCTGGTAGAATTCATATCCTATTCATAATACAGTGATGGAGATTCAGGGATGGGCTGGAGATCAATCAGCAGGTGATGTGCAATTGTATTGTGCATTGCTTGGGGTTTTTTCCTTGTATTTATTATTATATTTTACTTTGTTTCAATTCTTAAACCCTTCTTATCTCAACCTAAAAGTTTTCATTTTGATTTTTCTCCCAATTCCACTGGTGGTACATAGCTGCCAGCTGGGCTTAAACCACAACAGACATTCATCTCTAATTTTTTAACACAAAACACCTCCTTCAGCTGTGCATCTATTCTGAAATTAATCAATGTTAAAGATTGCTTAAATTATTTTTCTGTTGGGAAGTATTTTTCCTTGATCTGGAATGGTAACATGTTTTGTAACTAGATTTAGATTTGGAGCAAGTAGGATCATTTTTATTACAAAAAAAAAAAAGACCACTTTTGACTAGTGGGTCAGAACAAATGATGAAGTTACTTAGATCATGTCATCTCCCATATCACTGAACCTGTAGTAAATATTGTTTTACCTGGTCTGTTCAACATGACAAGATAATAACTGTCAGTTTCAGTCCTAGTAGGAACAGAAAAGCTATCTTTTAATCAGATCCTTGGCAGAATGCTATGCTTTTGTTCTGTATAGGTAAGTGAGATTGAGAGATTGCTATTTTGGCAAAACATGCTGTAACATCTAAAGCAATTTGAAAATGAAAAGCAAGCAGAAAACATTGTCATTCTATCTGGTCAGCAAATTCAGCTCCTCTCGGCTGGATTTTGTTCTCGTCCCTGTGAAGTTGGCAGAAGTATTTCCAGTGCTTCAGGTGAAACAAGGATTGGATCCACCATGATAGAGAAGTGTGATACAGAGAGTTTTCATACAGAGGCTGCTGCTTAGAATTACAGGGTCATTCATGTAATTCAGCTGAAAATAGGACAGACACAACATTTACCTTTGGAGTCTATGCAATATTTTAATTAAGGGATAATGTAATTATCATACAATTCTTTCCCAGGGTAACAGTCTCCTGCTGCTGGGTGAAAGCCAAAAAACCCAGACAGTTAATGAACATAAACATTGAGATGCAAATGTTTCCAAAGAGTGGACATTTGTCCTTGGCATATAATTTCAACTGTTTCTCTTGGAGCAGGTGGTTAAAAATGAAATAAATCATTGAAGCACAGTGACCAGTGCTTACTGCTAACCAGATCATGCCTACAGGAAGGAAACTCATCCATACACTATTTGTTGCAAACTGAGGCTTCTGTACTTAAAATAGAAGGACAAAATTCTGACCCTTGACTTGAGGATATTTTGAATCCTGCCTTTTTTTTGTCAAAGGTTTTTGTCATTTTCCTAGTGTTATTTTCTGCTCTGATCTACAACTATGCAGCATAGCTGCAGTTTCTCTCCATCTGCTTTAACTATTTCAAACGGCTCTTGTGGATCTGCTTCATTATTTACAGAGGTTTAATGCTTAAGAGGATCCAATGTAAATATGGACCTGGTTGTGTTATGGATACATCCTAATAAGATTCCAGAGTCTGTTCTCTATGGAATTTAACWGTTTGCCAAATATTTTTGAGTTTCTCTATGATTTGTAGCTGTTTGTATTGCAAACAAATATCTTAATTTTATTCATAGATAAGCCTGGTATTCAAGAATCTGAGTGTTAGTTATAGATTATATTAATAAATCTTCTTGTCTGAATAATAAATTTTTATGACTGCCATATAAGAAAACAATAGAGAAGATGACAAATAGCTCTTCACGGGCACACAAATAACTGGGAAAGAGAAGCCAGAAGTAGTTTGGTCCACCAATTGGTCCATCCATTTCCACCAATTAAATTTTTCTCCTAAAGTATATGAATAAAACATGAGTATCTATCTCTCTTAAGCTTTCTACAAAAATCTCTGAGTCTTCATATTTTCTGTAAATGTCAGTGACAGAAGCTTGGCATTAAGCAATCCTTTAAAAGAACTGAAACAGAAAGACTTTAACATGGCTGTAAAGGAAACATAGGCTGTCTCACTGRGAAAAATTTCCTGACCAGAGGTTTTACAAGACTGTGGAACAATCTCCCTATGGAAATTATGTTGTCTTATTTACCTCAGATGCTACCAATTAAACTGAGCAGATCTCTGAAAAAATCTCTCTTTATCTCTCTATAAAAATAGCTGTGTGAAACTAGCTTTTTGGGAAGAGTGCTTGTCTTTTGGTTATGAATTCAATATGCTCTCTGCAGAGTCTGCTGTGGGCCCAGGTTCACATTTTTAGTATATAAGACTTACAAATAATGATGGTAAGGGTAAACAGTAGATTTTATAAACTGAAAATGAGACTTAGCCTTTTTTGCCCATTTTCGCTGTATAAACTGTTCAAACTGCCAGAAATCCATATGTAAAATGAGTAAAGCTTCATTTTGAAATTTTTATTTCAAATAAACTATGCTTTTTTAATTGATATTGCTCAATTTGAAAGTAGTGAAACAGCTTCTAAGAGCTTTCAAAATAATGTTGCAGCCTTCATCTTAGGGAAGTTTAATAAATTATGAAAGTTTCAGTAGTAGGAAAGAAAGAAAAACAAATAATACTGGAGGCAATATTTTTCCCTTGTTATTGATGATCACTTTGAAACACACCAACAAGATTTCTAGAAACCTCTAGCCTTGATTTTTCACTTACACTCTGACCTTTTCCATCACACTGACAGTATAAAAGCCCTTTAAAATGGATCACAGTGGATCAAAAGGTTCTTGATGTAAATGAATATCAGGTTCACTGAGTACAATGCAAGCAGAGGAAAACTAACCCTGTAATGAAGAAAGTTAAACACACTCCCCTGAAATAAATACTAATTGCACAGGGGAGAGAAAGTTCAAACAAGACCCTGAATCTTAATGCACATGAACACAGAAAAGGTATTGCTGCAACACACACTACTCTAAAACAGACAAGGAGTCCCTCGCCTCCTTCTGACATCTATCGATTTAACAACAACAGACTCTTCCTTTTTGTTCCATACTTTATACTGTGATTTTTTTTAATTTCATAGAAGATTAAAGTCTTGTTCTGAATCATATCTGAAAGACCTTGAACTACCATCCTAAAAGTATTCAATGAATCGAGGCATTAAATGCATTCCTGACTGCACTGGTCACAAAATTGTAAACGATACCACCAAGAAAACCAGTAGCAAATTAAAGATGATACTTCTTTTTTCTTTCCATGAAAAGTCAGACCACAAAGCAAGCAGCAATTGTTATTAATTCTCTGTTCACTGAGTTTTGCAGTAAAAATACAGTTCAGGATTAAGAAGAATGTATCATGAACTTTGCCAAGAGACAAAAGATTAATCAGCAAGTGTCCAAGAAAGATCAGTGTGGAAACAAACACAAATTTCAAGAATTTCTTCAGAAACTATTACAGTCAGGCAAATGACTTTATTTGTCACAAGTAAATTGGCTGTCTTACATCTGAATTTGAATTGTCCTTTTAACTTTAGCTGATATGCTTCAAATATCAGAAAGAAGCAATATTATGTAGTAATTAAGATTAAAATATTATCAATGTCTGTTGGAGAAACTAGGAATGCTAAAAAACTCAGTAATCTTGACCTAAGGCAAAACCATCAGTGTTTATTATCATGCTTGCTTTCTTTTGGTTTGTTTGTGTTTTTTTCTTTTGTAAGAGCACGTAAATATAACATCAACCTCTATATAGTCCCTGGAAACAGGGAATGAACTCCAGTTTGGCAAAGCTTGGCTTTTCACATAAAGGAAATTATTATAGAAAGTTTGATTTCTGCTATKTGATTTAGCTGCATACACTCAAATATACATGTATTTGGGGGAAGGTTTATCTAGGGTGATAGCAAAGACATTCAGAATTGTTTATTCAGGAAATTTTGCCAACCATTTAAAAAAAGTAAACCTACTATATATTCTCAACAACAGCATTCTGTATTTCTGGAAAAGCCTTGGACTCTGCTCTCTACTTGTGAAAAGAAAGCACAGCAAGAATTCTTCCAGAGGTATATACTATGCTTTTTCTGACAGGCAACAGGTTGTATTACTAATTTGTTTTTACTGTCTCCTTGGTGAAATTAAGGGTATAATAAGCTCCACACTATTTGCCAGAAGTTTCATAAATCATTCATGCTCTTGAAAAGGAAATTTTGCTGTATTAAAATAATAATTTAGTAAACCAAGATCTGTAATAAAAGCAGTGTTTCTATTATCTGTATTACAATCTGCCTATCTTATAGGAACACCACCTGTACCTCCAGTTGTAACAGAGAAAGATAATTTAAGGTTAATAAGCAATTTAAAGAGAAATGTCAGTTTACTCAGCTGAAAGATCCCTAATCAGACATGTTTTGAAAAGCAATGCAACATAAGAAAAAGATATTGGATTATATGGCATTTTGAGAGAGCTTGTAAATCCATACCATAAGACCTGCTGATACTAAATAACTGATTTTCTTACCAAGATAAGGAGAGACCAGACAAACTGAGTTCATCAACTCAGCAACCAGGTGTCAGCGGTGAACTTGAAAATAAGACTGTGCTATGCAGTACATTTAGTGATGTCATACTCAAATCCACATTTGTGTAAGAACACACCCTTGTGATTTTACATCTTTATTGTGAACTCTGTGATACTGCTCACTGTATTGGGAAAAAAACCTGTCAGTAATCCAGGAATGAGAAGATTGCATTTCACTTCCAGTTTGAATCAAGCAGACTGAAAAGTGAAGTCATTTATAAAACTGTAATTGTCCCATCAGTGACAGACGAGAGTAGCAATCTGAGTCTTTCTCCTTTCAAGCTCATTACAGAAGATTTAACACACTGAAT